TGGTATTCTGCAGGGAGCTGACATACAGGCGTGCAATCCCTCACCTTTCTGACCGGAGTAGCGTTGAGACAATTCTGACGGCAGGACTCTGACCACTGTATAATCTGTCCTTCGGACCATGAGATAGAGGGGTTTTGCTTCTCCAGCCAAGGCAGTCCCAGAATGATAGGTGTTCTTGGAGATTGAAATACGAAGAGGCGGAGAAGTTCGGTATGAAGAGCTCCAGTGCATAATTGAAGGTCCTTGGTAGTGAATTGAATTTGGCCAGTGCCCAGTGGTCGGCCATCTAGCGCTGCCACTGCCAAATGAGATACACAGGGAACAAGAGGAATATTCTGAGTCTTAGCAAAACTAGCGTCAATGAAATTTCCTGCAGCCCCTGAGTCAATCAATTGGATCAATTTCTGGCGAAGTCTTCTGTAACGCGGAGGCAGTGGCATTAGGATCCATGTGCAGCTTTATTAGTTCACAAGGCAGGTCATACAGGCATAAATCGTCAACTGGTGTCAGACACAACGAAGGCTGGGCAGAATCGTAAACAGAGTTCGTTATAAGGGTCGAGGCAGGCAGCAGACAAACAATGGCAAGAATCAACAAGGCAGGCAGGGTCAGAATAGGTAGGCAGCAAGCAATCGTAATCGGGAAATCAGTCCAGGTAATCAATACAGGGAAAACGCTCAGAAATGTCTGCTAGGCAAAACAAGACTTCGCAAAGAGAGCAGGGACGGCAAAGTTTAAATAGACCGGGTAGATGGGGAACACCTGTGCAGGTGATTAGTCTCTGGCAAGGTGCATTGTGGGAATTGGAGTCCGAAGGGATCATTCAGTACTCCGGTGATGGTTCCCTCTGGTGGTGATCGGAGGGAGCCACAGAGGCTGAATTTGTGACAAAAGGGGTCATATGATGCGATTTCAAGTTTTCCTTTCTCTTTGGAGTGTTACAAGCTCTTGATGCATAAAGAAGATCTGTAAAGTTGCAAAGACTAAAGTCTCAAATCCAAAGAGATATTCTTTATAAAAGTTAAGAGTCAACAACGCCTACCTAAAATGGCTCGTTCTAACACGCCCCCACATGTCTACGTCACTATGTGGAAATATTAGCATAATGCCGCCCAAATGTGCACGCAAAGAAAGAAGCGTGGTTTCAGGAACAGCGGTAGTGTTGATGCAGCATGTCAGGGAGACGCTGTGTGTTTC